CTAGAGCATTCGCCAAAGTACATGATAGTTCGAGAAACGTTGCGTCACAGTAGTCATGTGACTCGCTGACGCAACATCTGATTAAAATCAACCAAATAAGTAGTAGATATGGAACACCATTGTTATCATGTGATTTTTCGTGTGTGAGACAACATTTGATGTAATAATATAATGTACACTTTAGACTTTTTTATCACAACATGTATCAAGAAAGTCTCTTCTAATGAAACACAAGGGTTTAGCCAACGCTACAAAGTTGTGAGGGGGGGGGAGCTTTCAAAAAACAAAACAAAAAACAAAAACATTTGGATTTTTCTTCTATACAAATAATTTTGTGATAGAAAAATAAAGAGGAGCCTCACAGTAATAAGCTGCTGCATTATAAAGATCTTTTAGAATATTGGAGTGGTAGTTTGACTCTCCAACCCCCCTAGTTACACCCCTGACGAAACATCATCAAAATTCTAGTTACTCCTGTTATCTTTGTAGCCAATCAGAGTAAGAGCTGATAACATTTAAAAGCTACTTATTGTGAGATAACTTGGCAATTTTGAGTTTAGCAAAAGAAAATAAAAAAATAAAAAATCACAAGTGCATTCTTTAGAATGATAATTCTAATTTTGAAAGTCCTAATGTAATTTCTAATATATGTAGAATAAAAAAGTTTGCCTCCTACACCCTTATTTGTTTGCCATCCCTTCTCCCACTTTCATAATCATGGCGTCGTCAGTGATTACAAGGCTAAATATAATTAATTTAGGCAAATACAAGTTCAGACCATTATTAAATATATTGATAATTTTATCGTTTCAGTTAAAGATTATGTAAACTAACTTACCTTCAGTAATATAATGCACTATTCTGCTTAGTATTTTGACTTCATCATCCTGTTCTTAGGGTATGGATATCCTAAATTCCATCTTCCTACCAGTAACATATAATCAATTCCTTTTCACACAGTCTTTATATAATCATTTCATCCGTAGAATATTTTAATTAAATGTCATTTTCCTATTGGGAACAATTAAAGGAAATATTTAGTATTACGAGAGCTATTAACCATAATAATAATCCTGCGTGTTTTACCTTTAACACATATAAATTGATGGAAAATATTTTGCTTCGCCATCTGGTTAATGGAAAATGAATTGCAAGGCAATTAATATTGACTTTCTGTGTTTCTTATAATTATATTAATTGTAACTGTTAGTTGGAAAGAACCACAAAATGTTACAGCTTTATAAGCATGTTGCAATAATATGCGTTTCTATAGTAGGTATATACTGTACTGGAAATCACTTAAAATATAAATTGAAAGATACTAATGGCATTTTTCCGAACAAGAACGTACTTCTCATTATCGGTAAGTCTAAAGTTCGTATAAAATTAATGTCCGGTGTCTCGTTCAGTTACTGATTTAAATCAGTCATTTACAATTGACAGTAAGCACGACCGAAGGGGCGTTTCACGCTCGTTTCCGCGAGGAAAGAAAATCTTTTATTTCTCTTCCTAATGTCAGCAGTGGAACATAACACAAAACTTTAATTTAAAATGTTAATGAAATTACAACTGTAACGTAAATCACTAAATGTAACTAAAGTCTTAAGATAATTGTGATTTAACGCACTACGTGGTATACTTACTAAGGTACAGGTTGATCTGCAGTTTAAATTTTAAAGCTGTGAAAAAAATATACAGTTTAGCTTGAATTAACGTATTATTAATAACATCATTCATTAGCATATAGTGAAAAAAAATTGACATTGTTAGTCAATTATTATTAGTCATTATTGCTATTAATCAATACACAGACCCTAGTAGTAGTAGTATTATATAAACAAGTCAGTAATTATAAGGTGAATGTGTCATTATTGATTAATTGACCTCGTGAAGAGTGCAGCTTTGCTTCTCTCACTACATGAAGCATACCAGTATATAAGTTATATTTATAAGAAAGGGTTCGCAGACAAGCTTCTAAAGTGATATCTGATTAGAGAAATCTAAGCTGAGGAATGACTTCAAGTTTTGTACTTGTTACTCAGGAGTACAGAAAAGTAAAGGTGTTTATTAATAGTGTTGGAAATGCAAAGTGGTTTGGACAGTTAATTATTTCAAACTTTGTTGGATGTGATGAACTACTTGTTGCTGTTATTTTAACAATAGACTAGGGCCAGACAATGTTTTTCCCAGGATTTTATAGAAGGTCAAAGATCAGATATGAAATCCTCCCTCTCTTTCATTTTTGGTAAGCCAATAGACAGTGGACACATGCCTGAGAGCTTCAAATGTTACTCCTATTTTTAAAGGCATGAGCACAAGGCTGAGAAAGGTATTGTTCATTTGAGGCATTATGGTATATGTTTTGAAATGGTTTAAAACTTTAAGTGTTTTAAGAAGTTGGTACCTGTTACAAAGTAAGTTTCAAGCACTGGAGTATGGGGTCATTGAATTAGTTCTTGCAATTATTTAATAATCTCAGTAGGATTGCACCCATGGCTTTAAATAAGGTGATAAGAGGTACTCTAAAGTTATAGGCCATTAAGTCTTACTTTCTTAATTATAAAATTTCTAGGTAGTTGGTAAGAGAAGCTTTACAAAATCATTTAGTGAAATATGATAATCATCACTGAAAGCCAACATGGGTACACCAAAGGAAGATTTCGCCTTACCAATCTGTTATTAGTTTTTTTATTGTTGTCTGGATGATAAAGAGGGTATGGATTTAGATTTTCAAAAATCTTTGATAAGGCGCCACACAAAAGATTCAATTAGATAATACATTGGTAGGGATTGGGGAAAGAGTAGTTAATTGGATTGTAAGTCATTAGATGGTAGAAAGCAGAAGGTTGTTATTAATGGAGTCTAACTCAACTGGACCCTTTTATTAGTGATGTGCCTCAGGGTTCAATGCTCGGTCATTTGATTCTTTTTTTTACCTAAAAGATATTGATAGGGGCATAATTAGTAATCTAATAAAGTTTGATGATGACATTAAACTTGGTTATTTCTAGCTGTATTGAGGATGTTGAGGTGTTACAGAGTGACTTGGATCAATTGATAATTTGGAAATACTTGCAAATGATCTTTAATTATAGTAAGCACAGGGTAAGGCACTTGGGTTATCATAATTTGGCTCATGTCTTTACTATAAATGGGAACCCACTCAGTCATGTGACTAAAAAAAAATATCTTGGTACAGTGGTGGATGAGTCACTCAAACCATTGAGACACTGATCTATTGCTAGTACTAATAGTCCAGCTAATAGAATTTTGGGGTGTAGTTATTGAAATATAGATTACAAGTCAAAAGAGATCTATACAACTCACTAGTTAGGCCTCACCTGGAACACTTTGTACAGTTGTAGTCTCTGTGTCTAAGAAATAAATATTTACTTACTTCAAAGGGATGAGATAAGAGTTACTAGGGTTATTGGGAAAAAGGGTAAGAGATGATCTTACTGAATCTTGCAAGACTTTTCAGGGTAGGGGATTGATAGAGGCCTCTGATTTATTTGTGTTATATTATGAAGATAATAGGATGAGAGGATACAACTTCAAGACTTGGAAACTAAAAGGTTAGGCTCCAGTTAAGACAGTTTTATATTTCTTAACAGGATGATTGATTTATGGAATGAGCTACTTGCCTTCAGCAGCAGTGAAAGCCAGCATTTGAAAGGAGCGTAAGAAGAGAATCAATGATTTCCTGAAAAGAAGGGCAGTTTTAAATTTTTACTTTTCCTGTGGGTCGGTGTGAAAGTATAGCTTTGAAGGACCAAATGTTCTTTTGTTGTTCATATCTTATGTTTTAGTTGGCAGAAATGTTATCTCTTATGTGAAAATAAAGTTTAAACAATCTTATGTTCTTAATAATTTTAGCATGGTTTATAAGTGGTCTATCTTTTGTGAACTCGTTTTCACAGGTCAAATTTGAAATGGATAACCTTTATGGACTCTTTTATTCATGCACTGAGGTTATGTGTATGATTGGTTTTTCACAGGTCTCCCATTTTGTAAAAACTGTGCATATTCCTAAAGTGAACAATTTACTGTTCTTCTCCATGGTTTCCAGTGTTTCACCCACCCTCTCTTGTCACAAATATGACTTAGATAATTTTTTTTTCTCACCATTCACCACCCCTGAAAAGAAAAAGAAATGCTGTAACTATGAATTTGTTTCAGTTTCTGATTGCTGGTACAAAATCATAAATGTATAAAGACAGAAATGGAACTAACAAACTTGCCATATTTCTTTAACATCATATTTATCTTTGAATATATTTCTTAGTCTAAGGCTTTATGCATTTTAGTATCAAACTTGTGGAGATGAACTGCTACTTTTGTTAGTGGTTCAGTTACTACAAACTATCATATATACACATCATATTATGCATTAGAAGTGAAGGAGGTAAAGTTTATTTTTGTTGTGGTCTAACTTTTTTTTAACTTGTATTATCTTATATTGGTAATTATAATGGTAAATGCACAGAGAAATGTTTTTACATTTTAGCACTAGGAAGCCTCATTAGAGAAAAATCAGTGATAATTAGAAACAGAGTTTTAAATACAGTATGCAAAATTTTTTACACAATATGATTCACATGTGGCATTCAGAGTGTGTGACTGACTCATGTAAAATGGTTGCAACCACAGGTACAAAAGAACCAAACAAGTAATGATAGTGGAACGTAAAAATATTTCACTTAGCTATCTTAGTCAAAGTGTGAGTCAAGATAATGAAAGGACTTTTTATAGGTAGTTATAAAATTCATATTATTTATTGAAGTAGACCTCGAGACATTTACTTATAACGCAGGTATTTTTAAGTCATAAAAATTTCAATAAATTAAGCTTGGAAGCTTATATTGTTAGATATTAATAGGTTTGAGCATGTGTAAATATGTGCAGTTATAAACAAAAAGCGTTTGTATTTGGAATAATGCCCAATATTATTTTATGTCTGGAAAGTGACAGTCATCTGCTGAAACAGTAGGAAAGAAAAGAAAGCTTTTTATTTAAAGTACTGCACTAACAGTTGATACTTTGTGAAAGTTGAGGTAGGTGACCTGTAATGATTTGTTTAGATCCACAAGCTGTTATTGAGGTGGTATACAAGAGTGATATTGAGCTAATTTTTGAAATCCATATGTTAAATTGCATGGTTGTTGTGTTTCAGTAATTTACTTTAATTACAGGTGATGATGCTGGCTTTGAGACCCAAGTGTACAATAATAGTATCTGCCAGACCCCCAACTTGAACAAACTTGGAGAACAGAGCATTGTTTTTCGTAATGCTTTTACCTCAGTGAGTAGCTGTTCTCCAAGTAGGTCAACCATCTTGACAGGATTGCCAGAACATCAGAATGGTATGTATGGACTTCATCAGAAACTGCACCACTTTAACAGCTTTGACTCTGTTCGCAGTTTGCCAGCAGTTCTTCAGAAGCATAATATACGAACTGGTAAGATTTATTTTTATTTTGCTTGACATGTGTAAAGATTTCTTGGATTTATTGTGGTAGTAAAGTGATAAGTTATTACTGTGACAAATGTGTGATGATCTAGATTTGTATCATGTATGACTGAGTCGTTGACAATAGCTTTGATTAACTCAATAACGACACATCACATTATCCCAGGAATTGTTTATTAAGACATCATATTGTGAGGTTGCAAATTCTCTTTTCATTTCATTATGGATTCGTTTGTCATTCATTTATTATTCCTTCCATTGTTTAATTTATCTATGAATATTTAGTTACATAAAAGTGCTGACTCAATCTCATCATGTTGATTTTGAGTAAGTTTGTATGTTTTATGAGACTCTCACCAGTTTCCCCTAACGATGATGTACAGATATTTTTAATGTTGTGAAAGATCATGTAATTTTATGGTCACATAAGATCTAATTTCATGGTCTAAGGACTGAATAAAAACTCTTCCACAAGTTTCAACAAGTTAGTTCACAAGATATAGCTGAAGAGTATTATTACTGATTGTTGTAGAGGTTGGTAGAGACAGTGTTAGGAACTTGGTGATCAAAACTGGTAGGGACTTGTTGAATGAAGTTGGTAATGAGAGTGATAAATCTTTTATTATAATGATGTGGCTAATCTTGACAAAGGTATAGCAGTCTTGTGTTTAAATTCTACCAAGCATGGGATGTTGATATTTACTTACTTATTGTATGGTATGATAACAAGGTATGACTATTAACCCTTTCACTGCTGCTGGGACATATATTTCCTAGTGCTCCCACCCCCATTGCTTTGTGACTGGGACAAATGTTTCCCATTGTCATTGAAAATTGCTGTGTATGATGTATGGGAGTAAAAGGAGTTGGAAAATATTTATTGGCATCCCACCTAATGTTTATATGGTTTCTCCTCAGTGTTTTCCACACATCTCTTCAGTAACCAACAAGATGTCTAAGTGGAATGTAGAACAACTGTGTGCCAACCATGCCCACATCGCTGTAGCTCCGAATAGTAACCTAATTACTATGTAAATATGCTTGATGCACTTGACTCGGATAGCTTAGAAGATAGTGAAAGTGAGTCAAGTGGTGTTCAAATGTGTGATGATGAAGAGGCAAGAAAACAGGAGGATGGTAGCTCTTTATCTAGTGATCTACTCAAGATATGAACCTGGACCCAGCAGAGGAAGGAGTAAACAGTGTCGACAATGGGAAAACATTTGTCCCATTTGCAATGTGAGGGTGTGGAAGCACTAGGAAATATACATCCCAGTTACAGTGAATGGGTTAAGACGTCTTCAGCTGATGTAAAAGTAAAAAATATATATATATATATATATTCTACAAGCTATAATTACAGTATATGCTTTGAAAAGTATATTAATATTATATAAATGTATTATTTCATAATTTATACAATAAAACTGGAACTTTACTTATTTCCTGGCATTGTTCAAGGTTTGATGTTGATTTTTCCAATGTCTTTGCAATCACAGTGTATCATATAGACATTTGGCCATCAGTAATTAACATCACATTCTGATATATACAGGCTTCACATAATGCATGGTTGAGAAAAACCATTAAATTTATTTCATTCTAAGTTAATTTTGTTCCTTTTGGAAATAGATTATGCCTATTACTGCCCAGGGAGACATTGTTTAATAATGTTGACAACAGTGACCTTCAGTTGTTTTGCAGGTGGTATCCAGAGGTTATGACCCCATCTATGTTGTAATGTGAATGACCAGTCATCTAGGCAGTGCAAGTTATGCTGGGTAAATCCAAGGTTTCATGTAAATTAAGGAATGTTGCATTTAGTCAGTTGGTTTGAGACATCATTTTGGTCAGTTAATTCTGAAGAGGATTCATGAAAGGTGACTGTCCAGTACATACACTGTGTTTGGGTTTAATAAGGATTGTTCACCTTGTGTCCAGTATCATTGCTTCATTCTACATCGTCTCAGTTAGTAAGAGATTTAGCAAGACTCCATAACTGATATCTTGACTGAGTCTCCTGTTAACTAGTGTTAACTTTTTTAAGTTAATACCACCTGAATATAACATAAATACACAAATGTACAGTTGTTAGTATTATTTGCTTGTTTTTTCCAATTTTAGACAAGTTACTGTGATTTGGCAATTCCAGCTTTTAATTTATATATTTGTAATTATTTGAGTTTTTGCATATATTAGTAAAATATGGTGGGATTATCAATTCTATGCTTTGATTTCACTCAACAGCTTTTAGCTACATTTGCATAAATTAACCTTAAGTGCTTCAGTTCAGTGTTCTTGAAGGCAGTTGCTATATATGTAACTGTAATGTAAAACTTGTGATCATATGTGTCACCCTATACTTGTATCATTACATGAGTTTGGGAATGATATCAGTAAAGGTAAAAGAAAAAAGTATCATACCTTTTTCTGATATATTATGTAATAATGCTGAAAGTAAAGTATATATAAAATCTCTGCATTTGTCAAATATCAAATTTAAACTAGATTGTGGCAGTTGATTGATCTTTTAATGAAGAATTGTTCCATTTCTGTGTTTGATGCTGATAAGATGATGTCATATACATTTCTGAAAGAAGAGTTGTTTCTACAAAAACATTTGAAACATTTGACAAAAACTGTCATCTGTCCTCAGTTTCATTTTTTTTAAGGTAAAAACTGAAAAAGATGAACTTAAGCTGAAATGTATAGTATATATATTCTCCCTTATGAGGAGGTTAACAAACAGCAACATTTTCAGGTTAACGTAAATACAAGCCAAAACAATTATTTTCACTCTGCAATATGTTATTGTGCCAGCTGTAATTTAGTGATGTCATATATTTTGTATGAATTTAAAATCATATATTTTGTATGAATTTAATATAATTTTTTTTTTTATAAATTCTCACTTTGTCATGAAAAATTCCTACAAAATGGCATTATTTTGACCTTCGAACATATTCTGTTTGGTGTGAATTTTCAATAATTTTAATGTATTTTGACTTACTTTTTTTTATTAGAATGTATGTAATTCCTATATGCATATATATAGAACCAGAATGTTTGGTTTTGTGTAGGAATTATTGGAAAAAAGCATGTGGGACCAGAAGATGTTTACCCTTTTGACTTTGCTTTCACTGAGGAGAATAACTCAATACTGCAAGTGGGTCGCAACATCTCTCGTATAAAGGAATTAGTTAGAAAATTCCTTCACATGAATGATTCAAGGTATTTTATACTGTTTCTTTCATTGTTTTAATATATATATAGCTAAATAAACCATTTTTTCTTTAATCAGAAAAGGTGATTTTTAAATTTGAATCGTATTTCAAGATTTATAAATGTTAAAGCAACAACTAATTGGAATTAAAAATTCAGTCTACTAATTTAATTTTAAATTACATATCTCGATTTTCTTTTTACAATGTTACACATGTATAATAAAGGAAGGGTAGTATGTTATGGAGAGAAATCCTCAAAAACAAAATCTCACGATCATAAAAGCCAAGTGTCGGTTGGTCATACTTGATTTCTCCAAATTTGGTGAGTCACAAGTCCAATTCCACTTTTCCTCCTACAACACTTCCTATTTTGATAGCCAATTCCCATTTTAATTGAATTCAATTGCTAACATAGGTGTAAATAGCTCCTAAAGTTTGGCACTTTTTCTGCTATATAAAAGCATGTCAAAGAGGAAGTTCTCAGGACCATATAAGGCATGACGTTATGTGTATGACACCACATCATCAACATCATTATGATGTCAAGCTAGGTAGGATCTGAATAGGGAAGCTGGGAAGATTCCCGTGATCAAAGACATGGAAGTGAAAAGTAAGTAAAAAATTAGTGCAAATCGTTGCTTGGCAATTATTACAAAAAAGCCTTTGTTAAAACAGACTGAAGATACCAATTACCTGTAGGGAAGAGGACGACTTTTCCTCAGAAGAAGAACAGGTGTGTATGGAATCACATGGTCATCGTGTGTTTTAATCTTTTATCCAAAGGCACCAATATGTAGCATGTTTGCTCAGTTATATTTAGTGGATTCAGGAGCAATATGTAGCATGTTCCTGGGAAAGGAAATTTTATATTTGTTTTATTTATTTCTTATGTGTATTGTCAATTTTGTGCCAAATAGTTATGGTTTCTGGTGGTTTCCCGTCATTTTTGATGGGCTTTTACGCTAGTGCTTAATAAAAAGTGAGAAAGTATGCAGCCAAATTTGATCATGTGAAAACATACATGGAAATGCTGACAAAACGCATATCGTGGCAATAGATATGGACAATTATTTGGTATAATCAGATAAGAACAAGGAACATTGAAATGCAGGTATGTAAACAAAAGCTTATTTTTAATATAAAATCTTAAAGCTATTTTCAATCTATTTGCAGACGTTTAATCTTTTAACAAACTATTACTATGTGCATACAATAAATTTGAAAACAATATTGGACTTGGAGCATATTATTGAATTCAGTTTGTTTAGTTTGAATCAAGAACTGACATCATCTTTCATTTTTGATGTATTAATTTTATATTTGTATATTTTAGATAAGTTTCGTAATTTTAAACTCAAGCAGATACGACATTATAATTTGTGCTTTTCTTTTGTCCTTATTTAAGACTTTTTTTTTTTTTTTTTTTTTTAAAAAATAAAAACCAAAAATCAAATAGTTTGCCATGTCTGTAGCAGTTTTTCTCCCAGAGACTTGTACTGCTTTAGTCAGTAGCCAAGGGATTTTCATTGATTACTTTTTTGTCTTCATTTTATGTTTAAATAGCAGTTAAAATAACCCAGTTTAATATTTAAATACATATTCTCTAAACTATTAAAATACCTCACATTTTCATGGCTATTCTTCCAGAAATACTTGGAGGTTTGTATCCATACTTCACTGTCTTGCATGTGTGTCCATAAAATTAGATTTTTTGTCCATGTCAGTTTATTTTTCACTTTCCATGGCCATTTCTGTTTCTGTATTTCAATGTAACCCAAGTCTTACAGCATTTTTCACTTAGTCAGTTAATTCTCAATCAGTCATAGTGTCATTAAATCCTACTTTCCTGATGTAAGGGCACCCAGTAAGGCTTTTTGTATAGTTTGAACACAGTTGAACTGTCCATGGCAAGGTTTTAGGTTAATATACATTTTCTGTTGATTAGTTTAAGATTACTTGTTCTTTATAAACAAGATATCCTTTATGATTTGAATCACAAAAAGCAGTTTCCAACCTTCTCTGAAATTACTGCTCTGTCTTAGAGAGTAGTTATTTCGATTATTTTTGAATAATTACAGTTTATAAAAAAAGAAATAGGCAATAATTAATAATAGTAAGGTATAAAGTAAAAATGTTTACTGCTGGCTAGTTGTCAGTGGTTTGAATTAGTGACAAGACAATGCTACCTAGTTCGTGCACTGACAAGCATGTTGCAGCAAGACTAGTTAGCTGGAGGGAGTAGAAATTATGTATTGATCAATGGTAAACTCCTCTAGAGTTTAAATAAATAAAATAATTTATTTAATTCTTTATCATTAAAATAAGGAATACATAATGCAAGATTTGTTTGAATTTCATTCTTTTACGTTTCCAAACTGCTCAATAATAGGAGTAATAATATTAAAATAATTTTAATTACATTGGATACTTGGCCGTAATAAATTTAGAAAATTATAAATAATAGATAAAAAAGTGGTTGCTGCCAGCTGATTACTTTCCCATGGATGATGGCTTTTGTTAAACTCCTGTAATGTGTAAATCAATCAACCGTTCTTATACTACTAGCTCTGATGAAGCTGTAATGGCAAATAAAATATTGGCTGCAATAAAAAAGTTTTTAATATTATCTGGAGAGTATCTTTATTGCCAATTAATCAACAGTTTCTTTGGAAAAATATTGAGTAACTCTGTCATGGTATTGATTAGGGGTTCCTTTCCTCAAAGTCAAGGGTGTAGGTCATCATGTAGGTTGTCCACTTTCGTTTCACTGCAGATTTTGTATTTCAAAACATTTACATCCATTCTCTAAGTAAACTGTGTTTCTTCTTTCTACTGCTGTACAGTTAAGTACATGGAAAGGTTTAACATCAACAGTGATCATTTGATAGTCTTTGTTAACCACACCTTTCTGTTAAGAATCTATTCTGTATCATTCATGCTGTTCCATAGGTATGTTCCTATTTAACATGATTCTTGCTCTTCTAGGCTCATTTAAATGTTTTTTTTTATTAATATTAATCTTTTTATATTAATTCTTTGATGATAGATGAAAGTAAATGACATATTCTGATGATAATAAGCCACATTTTTAGGTTTTCACTAAAACAAATTGACGAATACTTTGTACAACTAGTCTGTGCATGATGTCTTTTGATTGACTTGTAATGCTGGTAGAGAATTCTGTCAAATAGGTAAAACTGTAACACCTGATGGTTATTAATGATTGAGCCATAAAAATATTTAGCTTTTGTTTTTCTTGTGATGTTTGGTCTTGTGAGGTACTTGTTAAACAGTTACATTTGAATTGCTATTGTGCTTGATTTGGAGGATGGACCTTTTCCTTACGTTTGTTTTAGTCATTTTTGGGAAAAAAACTAGATCTTTTACTCAAAATATTGTACTTGTAACTTCTTAAAACTACTCAATCACACAAGAATGTGTGTACTACTACACTGTGGACTTCATTCTGTCCTTGTAAAATCATCATACATTATAGTATTATGACATGGCTAACTTGGAAATAACTTAGATCTGTGATGCATATATTTCCAGTAACTGTGTATAGCGTGATTAGCTAATGGCTACCAATCGTGTACAGCTTTACTTATTTCTTTGATACTTTTCTTTTTTTCCAGGCCTTTTTTCCTGTATGTAGCATTTCATGACCCACATCGTTGTGGACACACTAACCCAAAATATGGTGAATTTTGTGAGAAATTTGGAAATGGGCAACCCGGGATGGGAGAGATTTCCGATTGGACACCCAAGTATTATTCACCAGATGAAGTAATTGTACCTTATTTTGTACCTGACACTCCAGCTGCTCGTGCTGACATTGCTGCCCAGTATACAACTGTGGGCAGGCTTGACCAAGGTGAAGATATCAGTGTTGTTGAATAGGTCAGATCAACAGATATATTGAATATACTGTATCATGTTTAGGATGTAAATCTGATAGTTTAAAAGTTCTCATAGTTAAAAGCTGGTGAACAGAATAAGAGTGTTTTGTTTATTCATAAGAAGGGTTAGGTTGAAGGAAACGGTAAGACTGGTCATATATTTTAGTTTTGTATAAACCCATTTATTAAACGCAGAATTCTATTTACAGGAATAGGCTTAATACTGAAGGAATTAACTGATGCAGGCTTGAGGGACAACACTCTTGTTATATATTCTTCGGACAACGGTATTCCCTTTCCTAGTGGCCGTACCAATCTATATGATCCTGGGATGTCTGAACCAATGCTAGTGTCAAATCCTGAACACCGAGAGCAATGGAATCAAGTATAATACATCAAATTTTACTTTAAAATGTTATTTCTTAGACATGGTTCAGTAAGATTTAACTTCTGAATTTTGTGTAGCTGAACAACTAAATGTTAAAAGATTTAACGTGGGGTCTTGTGTAGAGTTTCTATTTATTTTGTTGCATAATTCAGTTAATTTAGTTAGGATTTGCACACCTCTCTCTCTGTCAGCTGTTTTGTGTCCCCTATTTGAAAATAGTAGGTTACTAATACAGTGTACTGGACTTACAGTGGATTATTAAAAACTTGGAACATTTTTTTTTTAGATTTGCTGAAATGCATGTTGGGGAAAGTTTTATAACTTAAGATTTTCACAACTTGATATGTAAATATTTATATTTTTTATAGGTGTCAGATGATCTTGTCAGTTTGCTGGATATTACTCCCACTGTATTGGACTGGTTTGATATTAGATATCCTCATTATAAGCTTTTCAATGCTCCAGTACATCTTACTGGGAAGTCTTTGCTTCCTCTTACTGAGAAATTAGTTAAGTCTGATGATGTGCTTGATTTCTCCACAGCTTTATTTGCTAGTCAAAGTCTTCATGAAGTAACTATGTATTACCCCATGCGAGTTGTTCGAACTAAAAAGTACAAACTCATTCATAACTTAAACTTCAAAATGCCTTTTCCTATTGATCAAGACTTTTACATCTCACCCACTTTTCAAGACATCCTAAACAGGACTCAAACACAGGTGACAACCCACTGGTATAAAAACTTGACAGAATATTACTACCGACCGCAGTGGGAGCTGTACGACCTTATAAAAGATACTAAGGAAACTAACAACCTGGCAGATTGTGCAGAGTTTCAAGCTATCCTTTTCGAACTCCGTGACATACTTCATTCCTGGCAGTTGAAGACTGCTGATCCATGGATCTGTGGACCATCTGCAGTGTTAGAAAACTCTGGTAGATTTAAGGAGCATCCACGCTGTCTACCACTTTACAATGACCTCACGTAGTTAAAAATACTTGTCTCAATTCAACATTACAGCATATGTTTTTAATGTATTTAACAATGATAATTAAACATATGGTGCACATGTATATATTGATCATCAGAATACGATAACTTAATTTGTTTGGACAGTGTTTTATTCTCTTCTGAAATAGATGCATCACTGGTGGTTTTCTTTGGTAAACCTGTCTACTCCAACATTATTTGAGATGTTATAGAACAGAGATATATCACCTTGACTTCCCAATAAAGAATGATGAACAAGTTATAAAAAATACTGTACATGAGGATGCTTCTTGTCTTAATTAAGTATTTGATATTATTGCATTTTTACCACTGATAGATTGGAAAATACCATCTAAGTTTAAATTTGAAAAAACAAAAAGTTTCACATCAGCAATGTGTATAACTTGTGAATGATTTTTAGCGATATATGTGAAATATGCTCAATACTATTCCATTACAGTATTGTACAGAAATATTTGTACAAACAATTATCTATGTTTGCCAAAGAGTAAAATATTCTAACAAATTTAACTTGTGTAAATATTAGTGAAATAAAGTTTACATGTACCAAGTTTGTTGATTTTTATCTATCAAAACTAATAAAGTCAACACAAATTTGGTGGCAAGTGGTACTGTAACAGCCAAAATGTAGCCACATTCAGTCAAAAAAGGTCAAATCCTTCCCTTACCAACCAGGCACACAAAATTTTGTACTGAACTCTAGCTTAATTGACACAAGTGGGTGAATATGGTGACATATTTACCCTTGGACAGGATGCCAGCCCATTACAAGTTAACCTCCAGCTAAGTGCAGGTACCCATTATACAGCTGTGTATATTGAAACAATTGGGGTAAAGTGTTTTGTTGAAGGATACAACAGCATGATGCAAGTCAGCTTTGAACTCGCAACCTTCTGACTAAGAGTTCAAAGTGAAAAGCCACTGAACCAAGCTGTCCCCCAAAAACCAATACACATGTATAATTTTGGAAGACTGTAGACATAAACAAGGTATTTAAATCATCACATATCACTTTTAAATTGTCCAGAGGGTTTCTCCTTTTTTTTTCTCTGTAATTTGATATTGTTTTGCTTTAAATATATAAAAATTTCAAAGAAAACAAGGACTGATGAAAAGAATACCAAATTTTGTCTCTAAGAGATGTCATTGATTATTATAAAGCTTACTTTGTAGGACTTAAGATAGTTCATTGGTTTATACAAAAGTTAATACTCAAAAGAGTATCCTGAGCACTAGCATAGATCTTTTTTTATTAGTAGTAGAGAAAAGATGGGTTTACATGCTTAGATCTTGTATCATATGGTGGTAACAGTCAGTTTTAGAAATAAATTTTAATCGGACATTTTGTTTAAACACCTTGAACTGAAGTTGGCAAAATCTCATTACAATTCTGAACGAAACAAAAGATGCTTTGCAACAAAAGTAGCAGCAGGTGAATCTAGTGTAGCATAAGGAAAGCTGCAGTGTTCTTGTAATTTCATTTGTAATTGAAATAACACAAGTAAAATGACTGAGCTAGTATGCTGCTGTAGAAAGCTCTACCGTAAAAAAATATGTATTTATAGTAATTTACCTTTTGAAAATGCTCAGATCATTGGATTTTCCCTCATTCTGATTTATTTGCTCTTTGATCCCATGCAATTTCTTAACAGGTCAGAATAGTACAAGAGAAATTATACTTTTGTATAGAGAAAAGTAATCAACTTCAAAATTCTAAGGCCATCATGTTGTGTTTCATCTATTGTTTATCAAAAAGATTTGATGATTTTTCCTCACATTTGTGGTCCACAAAGCATGGCCAAGTACTTTTATTTTAGTGTTAAGATCAGATATTGGATTTTTTTTTTCAAATATTTGGGTTGATTTTTAAATCAATTTACTTGTGGCATTACAATTGAAACCCAGTCTTATACTCCAGGTGTCAGATCCAAAACATTAATGATCTGTCATAATAGAGTTTATCCTAGGCTATTTTAGTAAAATCTTCAGAGTTAATAGTTTTCCAGAGAGAAATTACCTTTTTGCACTTTGAGGAAAATTATAAAAATGAGAAAATTAGAGTTATTTTACATTCTGATAAGATGGATATAAGTTGAATATGAAGAAGATTGAGAAATAGATTTAAGTATTTACATAAATCCTACAGTTTTACTGAAATATTGGGGGGCTCAGTTTTAGATTGAGGTATTGAATAATCTCATGAAGTTCATCCAATAAATTTAAATTGGGAAATTTGATTCATTTGATAATATTATTGAGTTACTGAGTTAAATAAATGCTAGAGAACCACATGCAGAATAGGAATTCGTGTTCATAAAACTGAGTGTCCTTGTAATATTTTGTTCAAGATTAATTGATATATGTCTTTATTTTGCAGATGTGTAATTGCAAAATAGTGAAGAAGCAGTAATCTAACACCAATATGCAACTTTATTTTTCAAACACTTACTATTCCATATTTTTTAATTTGTAGTATTTTAAGTTGATTTTTACCTGATAATAACAGAACATGAATTTAATTATTAGTTGTATTTACAAATACAGCAGATTTGACTTCATATTGAATGTAAGATAGAAATGAACCATGTACAAACTGCTGATATTTAGATTAATGTTTCAAAAATGCTCAGTGAAATGTGGTTGATGTGTACAGTCAGACATACTAAGAGGGGATGGATGATGGGGAAATTTTCCTGTGGCTCAGTGCCTTGAAGGGGGCCTTGGAGAAAACAGATGGAAAATTGAGAGAGGGGAACACCAACGCACGCCTATCCTTCTCCAGGACCCATTAAATCTCTTGACAGCCCTGCACACACTATATCTCTTATATTCAGTAGAAGATTTAATGTGTGTTTTTCACACTAATATTTGGTCAAGAAAGGATCGATAAACCATTTAATCAAATAAGTTTTATTTCTTTCATATTACATTTTGTTCAGAAGGCAGGAGGGTGACCTTAGTAGCCATGTGTTTTTATGTTATCCATTGATTAAGCCTAGTATTAGTAAAACCACTCATTTATATATTTCTAGTCCCAACATACATG